CAGTTTCAAAAACACACTTGAAATTGCAGTGTACAGAAAACTGGAAGTTCAGTACGGGAACTGGACCTGGGCTCTGAGAAAAAACATATTGACCATTGAAAACCAGCTGTACAACAGAATTGAAAATGGAAAACTTGACAAGATTGAGCTCAGTTATCTTTTTAAAGAAATGAGCAAGACATATGGAGAAATCAAAAAAGAAATTACAACTTACTTTGATGATGACAGAGACAAAGAAATGTTGGTTCAGTGGCGAGGCACATTTGAAAGCAAAATCAAGGAGTTTCATGATGAACAGGTGAGAGGAGTGAAAAGAAAACTGGATGAAGTTATCCAGCAGAAGAAGGCTTGTAAAAAGCTTGATGATCAGAAGACAGAGTTTGAGAACAAGCTGCTACAGAAGAGCAAAGAACTCGCTCATCAGTTAAAAGACAAGACACAAGATGAAGAGGAACTTAAACAGCAGTTTGACTCTGTTTGGAGAGACTGGGTGAGAGAACTAACTGCAGATACAAAACCTATTGAAGACATCAACTTGGAGGAAGATCAGTCAACTATCCTTCAAGAGCTTGGTATTGAATGGGCTCTTATTGATGAATCCAAAATCAGTGGCAGATACAAAAACATATCAGGGGTTGGTGATTACTTTGATTATGTGGCACTCACCAAGTATCAGGAGCTTTGTGACGAAAGCCAACAATCAGAAGATGAGAAGAGGGTAAACAAGAACACAAAAGTGCAAGGAGGATATTCATGGAGAACTCAATGGCTGTCTTTTAAAACATTGTTTAGATTTGCGTCAACACAACAAAAAGAATTACATACATCAAGCAATTCTTTACCATATGAAGACCAAAAATGCTTCAGATCCCTCATTGACGAAGTTGAAGAACAGACTTTTGATATAATCAAGAACAAACCTGTAGCTACAAGAGGCTACAGATCAACTTACTTGCAAGAAGTTGCCAAAAATGTCAAAGAGAAAGTGACAGAATTTGAATCAGAGAGGAAATTTGCTCTGAAGAGGGAGTTTACAGTTGAACTCTTACTGTATGTGTTTGACATAGCAGGGACTTCGCTTTCAGAGTCCCATGAGAAATTCAAGAAGAAGAATGATGCACGTACTCATTTAGAAAGCAAGAGGGATCAATATTACAACATTTTCAGAAGCTTCTGTAAAGGAAACTCTTCTGCTGTTGTACTCGGAGAACTGATCTGTGGAAAACTGAAGGTTTCCACTATTGAGGCTGTCTGTAAAAAGACTGTCATTGATCTAGCTGGAGAGATGAAGTGCAGTTTCCCAGCATTCAATGGGAACAGACTGAACCTGGAGAAACATGTGTTGAAGTCACTGGCAGAGAAAGAGGACTTCAATGGTTTCATGACCTACATCCGACACCCAAGGAAACATGTGGAGAGGTTTATAAAAGAGGAAGTAGAGAAATACATCTTCACATCACACAAAGATAAAGCATGGGATATACTCAAGAAAAATGTTGAAGACATGAAACAACATGTGAGTCAGGCTTTATTTACTGCAACATCAAAAGTTAAGACCCAGAGAGGAGACACAGACATGTGGCTGGAAGAATTGTCCAGTTCGCTGAAAGATGAGTTGACATTTGATGCCGTTTGTTCTCA